TTGTGGCTTGTTGGCAGGGCACCGGCTTTCCACACAGAACACCTCAGGCCGGCTTCCCGGCACATCCACAGAAAGAACCTGAGCCTGGAAGTGTTGAGAACGGCCTTTCTCTGCCCGAGGCCCTGGAGAGCTGCTGCCATTCAGAGGACTCATAAGGGAGCCAGACGAGCGAGGGTCAGGCACGGGGTCGGGCACCGTCATCTGATCCCGCCTTGGCTCAAAGGCCCACTCAGGATGTGGGGAGGTCTAGAGCAGAGATCGCACGACAGCCGGGCATCTGCCAGGAGGGTGCCCTGCTCTCGTGCCCCCCCGGTATGATTTCCGTCTTCGGGACCAGGAGGCTGGTGCCGCAACACTTCTTGCAGGCTCGGTGCCAAGGAGAACGGGCACTGCTGCCATGTCTGCTTCCAAGCAAAGGAAGACAGACGGACACGTCAGAGAGGCCCTGTCTGCACTGCTGGCTTCGCTCCCACTGGACCTGAAGAACCCGCAGAAGGGCCACCGTTTGCAATTCCAGGCGCTTAGGGCTCTTTAGCTTGGAGAGAAGACGACTGAGGGGTGACATGATTGAGGTTTATAAGATTATGCATGGGAAAGAGCAGGTAGAGAATGAGGTACTTTTCTCCCTTTCTCACAACACAAGAACTCGTGGGCACTCCATGAAACTGCTGAGCGGTCGGGTTAGAACGGATAAAAGGAAGTCCTTCTTCACCCAAAGAGTGATTAACACATGGAATTCACTGCGACAGGAAGTGGTGGCAGCTACAAGCATGGATGGCTTCAAAAGGGAATTAGATAAGCATATGGAGCAGAGGTCCATCAGTGGCGCCTATTAGCCACAAGGTATAGACAGGAACTCTCAGTCTGGGGCAAGGGATGCTCTGTCATCTTGGTGCTTGGGGGGGGGGGTCAACAGTGGGAGGGCTTCTAATGTCCTGGCCCCACTGCTGGACCTCCTGATGGCACCTGGTATTTCTGGCCACTGTGTGACACAGAGTGTTGGACTGGATGGGCCTTTGGCCTGATCCAACATTGGCGTCTCTTATGTTCTTATCAGGAAGCTGGCTGGTCACACAGCACTCTGTGGCTCACCTGACGTATTTGGGAGATTAGGCACCTCCTTGCCCTATTTCACACTAGCTGACAAATTGTCCTCTTTGGACAATGAACAGAATTTTCAGGCTTTATCGTGGTGGTGGGAAACACTGTCAAGTTGCAGCCAAACTATGGAGACCACTGTTCCCTCTAAGCTGAGTTAGTGTGAGCTAGCTCACAGTGTTTTAGTCTCCGGCTCACACATTTTTGTTTTAGCTCAGGAAGGACGGCACCGGAGCAAACTAATTTTATGCAGTAGTCAAATGGCTCGCTCACAACTTTAATGCCCGTAGCTCACAAAGTAGAATTTTTGCTCAGAAGACTCCACAGCTTAGAGGGAACATTGCTTAGAGGGAACATTGATGGAGACCCCATGAGGTTTTCAAGGGAAGAGACAATCAGAGGACCCTGGACTTCTTTGGAGGTCTCCCATCCAAGTACCAACCAGGGCCGACCCTGCTTAGCTTCCAAGATCTGACGAGGCGAGCCTGGGCCACCCAGGGCAAGGTGCTTATCACAGTAGGTAAGTGAAAAATGAAGAGTGATTAAGAGCGGCGGACTCTAATCTGGAGAACCAGGTTAGATTTACCGCTCCTCCACATGCAGCCAGGTGGGTGACCTTGGGCCAATCACAGCTGATTGCAAGCCACCCTGAGACTCTGAGTAAAGGGTGAGGTATCAATCCAACTCCTACTCCTCCTCCTTTGGAAGTGCTCCCTCACCGTAAAATCAATGCCCGGGCCAAACCGCTGGACCTAGAGACATCAAATTCAGGGAAAGCGCACCCACCGTGGCGTAGGTGCTTGCTAAGAAGGGATTTTTTAGAAATTCGACCCCTAAGTGGCTCAAAAGGGGGAAGATGTGCTCCCCCATCAATTCCTATGTGGCTGCCTCTCTGCACCCCCCACTCTCTGATTGGTCAGTTGCAGAGCTCAGTGTTCTGAGGTAAAAAAAACCCCAACAGTTACAGGGAAGGCAGAGCGCTAATATATTTATTTTATTTTTTGCATTTTTACCCCGCCCTCCCCGCGAACGGGCAGTTGAGGAAATCGGGAGTGGCCAAGAACCACCTGTGAGGTGGAGCAAAGCTGCTGGCCCAGCCTCTCCGATGGCTTCCAACACACTCCCCCCCCCACCTCCCACACCTAACAGGCGATTGTCTGTCAGGTGTAGGAGAGGAGGTGGGATGGCCCTGCAGAAGAATGATGTCGCCAGTGATTGTCCAGTGTCCAATCTGACCTTTCTGGGCAAAGTGACTGACCATGTAGGAGTGGACCAGCTCCAGGTCTTCTTGGCTTCAGTTCGTGACCTCCATCTGAATGCAGACGACGGCCATGCTGCCCTTTGCTAGTCCCGTCGGGTTTATTTGCAGCCTTTCATTCAGTAGACTGTGCTATCCCCTCCAAGAATTTGGAGACAGAAGTGGGCGTCACGTGATGCGTTTTGGATGGGTCGAAACCCGTCCCCATAGATCAGACTCCAAGGTTTGCCACTGGAGACCAGTTGTCATCAGGGTGGGATGTGTCCGTCCGTGCCATTCTATCTCTACGTCAAGCCCTCTGGACTGATCTCTCCTCTGGCTACTGAGTTCTGTTCAAGGTACTACCACTCACAAGCCACTTCATGGTAGGGTTGCCAGGTTCCCTTTTGCCCACCAATGGCGGGGGGACGTTCCGGGAGTGGGAAGTGGTGTCGCCCCCACCTCCCCCCAGAACAGTGATGTCACATGTTGTTGGGTGTTACAAGTTAAAACACTTTTCAGTATTTACTGGGTTAATGATGTTTGTTAAGTCACATGTTTGTTTGTAACCAATCTGTTTTAGACAGTTAGAAAGCCCGGGAACTACGGAGCTAGTTTGTTGTTCTGATTGGAAACCAAAGTGCCAAGTATTAGCATTTTATGGCTTCTCTTCCCGTCTTAGTGTTCTTTGTTCTGAGCAAGAAGAAGAAGCCGCCATTCTGCCATTTCAGTTTAGCTGTAAGGATGCAGGCATATAAGCTCTTTGTTATTTTATATCCTGTGTACCTTTTCCCATGGTAGGTTGTAGTAAACTTTATATTCTTTTAAAACACACCATGGACTGTCTCTTTAATACTCTGCTAGCAAACTTTAATCAAGAATCCCAACACATGTGATGTGTCTGCATCGCCCGGAAATGATGTCAGCACATTGAGGGACATGCTCTAGGTTTTGGGTAAAACTCTATGGTAAAATCAGCCTCAAACCACAGAGTTTTGCCCAAAGCCCAGAGTGTGACTCCTCGACATTGCCAATGTCACTTCCTGGTGATGGAGGCACGTTATGTGTGCCGTCACTGTTTGGGGGGATTCCCTCCCCCACCGGGCAAATGGCTGTCGGGAGGTCCAGGTGTGACGTCCCTGCCTCGGCCTCCAGACTGAGTGACAAGAGAGGCTAGATAGCTAGACAGGCACACGGACCTTTCCTTCCTGTCTTTACTCTTCTGCCACTGTCCTCTTTGAAATGTGGATCGTGTTCTCAGGGGCCATCCCCCTTCCTTCCATTCACTCTCTCAGAGTTGAAGAGGAACCCTCCCGCTGCACACACCAAGAGGGACGATGTGTGGTTCTCTCTTGACACCATGAGGCAGATGATGGGCCTCTCGACATCTGCTTCCATCCTTTAGACTAGCAAGTTAGTACTCTATCCCGTCCCTGCTCTTTCCTATCCAAAGTGTACTTCTCGAATAAAGAGAGGAGTATTTCTCTTCTAAACCTGCCACGTGGCTCTGTGTAGGTTTGTAAGCTGAGCAGCCTGGTAAAGTGAAGCTGCTGCGTTTGTAGTTTTAATTAAGCACTCTGCTAACTAGTGGGAAATGGCAACCCTACTTCATGGCCTTGGACCCTCACGTCTGAGTCTGGCTGAGAAAGACAAACTGCAGATAAAGTAAAGAAATAAAACAAATACGTGGAGGCAGCACACCCCTGAACGCCAGCGCCAGTGGAGGCCCAACGTCTGGAGCCCACAGGCACCTTTGGAATGCTGACACAGCATGGTGGGAACCAGTGTTCCCTCTAAGCTGAGTGAGTGTGAGCCAGCTCACAGTTTTTTAGCCTCCAGCTCACAAATTTTTGCCTTCGCTCAGGAAGGATGGCTCCAGAGCAAACTAATTCATGCAGTAGCCAAATTGCTCGCTCACACATTTTTGCCTTCGCTCAGGAAGGATGGCTCTAGAGCAAACTAATATATGCCGTAGCCAAATTGCTCGCTCACAACTTTCATGCCAGTGACTCACAAAGTAGAATATTTGCCCACAAGACTCCACCGCTTAGGGGGAACATTGGTGGGCACAGCTGCAAAATGGCTGCCACCAAGGGCCTGTCACTGGAGGCAGACCGCTTCCCTTCAGTCACACCGTGAAGACCCTCGTGCTGGTGGTGGTGGGGGAAGCTGCTGTCAGAGCCAACCTGTTTACAAACCTGCACGGCCAATCAAATCTCCAGTGGCCAATCAGAAGTCTCATGGGGCAAAAGCCCCAACAGGCCCTGCCCACTTTCTAAAAACCCTTGGTGGGCACCAGGAAAGGTATCAGGGGCGCCAGGGCACAAACAAACACCACCCTGGGGAGCCCTGCTCGCTACCCTGTTTGTTGCCCATCCCTGTGTGAAGCAGGGTGCTGGACCACCCGTCTGAGTCATCAGGCGCTAAGTCTGGTCTTGTTGCCTAGTAAAGTTCTGGGGAAGAGGAGGGGAAACAATGGGGGGGGGGGCTCCTGTGCCACCAGAACTCCAGCGGGGAGGACTGGGCCATGTGCGGCTGGGCAGGGAATCCACAGGCTTCAATCCACACCTGCTGAGAATTAAAAAAACCCCCAAACTACGTTTGTTTCTACAATATTTTCTGTGCTCTGAGTACGGGATGAAACTCCTTTCAGTCAGAGGGGATATTTTATTTTCCATCACCACAAAACTGAAACGCATTCTGTGCACAAGACACTTCAGGAAAAAAACCAGACTCTATCCACAACGCCAAGCCCACATAACAGCCATGTTGTCAGCATGACTTCTTTCACACTGGCTCCCAAACCAAAGCTGTGGTCCCTGCAGGGGGAGTGTGTGTGTGGCCTGGTGGGAAGCCGGACTTCTCGGTGGCCGAGTCCTCTTCGTTCATCAGCGGTGCCCTCTGGGTTGTGGCCAAGGAGAAGACACAAATCTGGGCTGGGACGGCGCAGGGCCAGGTCCTTTCAAAGCCCATCAAGCTGGCCATTGGGCATTGCTGCAGCCATGTGCCCGAACGGTCCTGCATTTCCCCGGGTGGAAACAGGCCGGGCCAGACCAGCCAGGACGCCCTTTCCTACTCATCCATGGACCAACAGAAGAGCCTCCCATTCTCATCACCAGCCAGCAGCCTGGAGGAATTCCTTGGGAGAGGACAAAGAAAGAGAGTTTTTTCAAGAGAAAGACACCCGCACTCTTTTCATTCGTTCCCGTGTGACCCAGATGCATCGGAAAGGGACGTCTTGGCAATACAAACTTGGGGACTCTTACTAGGAATTGCACATTTTGAAGATAGGATACATACTCAGTGGGATTTATTGACATCCCACCTCGGGTTGCCAATTCCGGGCTGGGAAATTCCTGGAGGTTTGGAGGCGGAGCCTGGGGGTGATGGAACTGGGGGGGAGGTTTATAATGCCAGAGTGCCTCCTCCAAAGAAGCCGTTTCCTCCAGGGAAACCAATCTCCGTACTCTGGAGATCAGTTGTAATTCTGGGAGAGCTCTAGGTCTCACCTGGAGATTGGCAACCATACACACGCAAGGCAGCCAATGCTCCCCACAGGCCTCCCACGCTTGGCTTTGCATCGCGGGCCTTTCAACCATACCTTATTTATTTAATGCCTTTAGCCCAGTTTACACGCCATCCCCCCCCCCACCACCACCAGCAGGGGACCTGACCTCTACCATCTGGAGATCAATTCCAATCCTGAGAGACCGCCAGGTCCTTCCTGGAGATTGGCAACCCCACAAAGTTCTGGCATCACCTCCAGTGCGGCCTGAACTCCCTGGCGCAGGCATGTCCGCCCAGCTGACAGAAGACGGAGCGCCAGCCGGCATGCAGAGAAGAACCCAAGGTCTGGGCGGTGCCAACAGTTCACCAGGGAATCCCGGAGGAGGCCCCCAACTTCTTGGCTGGGGCGCCCTCTCGTGGCCGCGCCGGGTACCGCGTCGGGAGCCGCTTACCTGGAGACGGCCAAGGTGGTAAGGGCAGGGGGAAAGGGCAAATTTGCTGGGGGCCCCCCCCCCCGCCGCCACCACCACCACCACGCGCAGGGCGGAGGAGACTCTGGAACACAGGACTCCCTGATTTGCCCTTCAGGCTCTTAGCGGCTCTGCGGCACCAGTGGGGTCGCCCTCCCCAGGCTGGGAAATTCCTGGAGGGTTTTTTTTGGGGGGGTGGAGTCTGGGGAGGGCAGCAGTTAGGTTGCCAACCTCCAGTTGGCACCTGGAGATCCCCTGCTATCACAACTGACCCCCAGATGACCAAGATCAGCTCCCCTGGAGAAAATGGCTGCTTTGGAAGGTGGACTGTATGGCCTTACACCCTGAGGAGGTCCCTCCCTTCCCCAACACCTGCCCACCCCCCCAAAACCTCCAGGTATTTCCCAGCCCCCAGCTGGCAACCCTGGGGACCTCTGATGCTGCCATCAGGGCCGGCTCACTCACTAGGCGATCGCCTAGAGTGGGCTGGCCCTTAGGGGCGCCAAACTGCACCCGGCCCCGTACTCTGGGAGTTTCTTGATTATTTGTGTTTTTCATTCTTCCTAAAATGTATTTATTTTTGAAAAAT